CGGGCATGTTGTTTGGCTTTGGTGCTGGTGCAATTGTGTTTGGGAGAGAGGTTGAGTTTGGGTGGGGAAAAAAATTGCCGGTCCAGACTTTTTTCGGGAGACCGTGCCTGGCCTCGGGGTGGAAGAGGATCCTCCGACCCACATTCCGTTTCGAACTCTTCCCGCCCGGGCAAGAATTACCGTGGCCACGCTCGATGACATGCGTAGGGTGGAACCCTTCAGTTTCCAGGGGGTTGCTGCGGTTTGCTTTGGCGGTAAAGGCCAAGGGAAATCGCCCACCAAGCATAGCATTCGAGGCAAGCTTCCCCAAGCTTGTCACGGCGCTGCCCGATCTGGGAAGTTTCGCTGGCATCCCCTGCACACATCACCTCCCTGGCGGGTCGTGAGGCGATGGCCAACCTCGGCGCCGACCCCGTACTCCCCCAAACCCCAGCCGACCACGGCTATTCTCGCTTTGCGCCCGTCGTGCGCGCCGTCTGGCCAAGAGCACTTGTGTCCTTGGCGTGTGCCAAGTAGGCCCAAGTGACCTGCTTTGTGGATCCGGCAGTTGCCTCCCGAAGCTCGTTGATCCAGACCCATGGGATCATGGTCGCGTGCTTGGTGCTGTCAACGTCTTTTTGACAGCCTCCGTAGCTGTCTCGGTTAAACTTGAGCTCCCCCTTTCATCGACCGGCGGCGGCCTTAATCCAGCATAAGCGATATCCACAAGCTTAGGCTTCTTTTGCATGTCGCCCCTGGGGGTAACCATGCCATCCTTGGCTCCATGCTTGCAGTAATGATACTCGTCCGCGTCCGACTGCCCTATGGAACAAAGGCGAGGATGTAGCACCGAAAATCTCGTCTTCATTGCTGCGTATAAAAGGCCAGGGCACCGGAGTATCTGGAAAGAACAAGGCCTTCGAGATCCCACCCGCTCCGACCTTTCGATTCCTTCCTGCCGGGCGCAGTCACCATTTTCTCACCTTTCCACGGCCAGTCCGTTTCCATTCTGTCTGCTCTTGATCATTTCTTCGTCCCCTACTCTTGAGAGCAAAGCTTTCCCATCACAAGCTCACATCCCTTTTCCGTCTAGCTCAAGAAGCAAACGAAAATGCGTCTCTTCCCTCACATCCTGTTGCTGGCCGCTCAGCTCGCCGTCACCTTTGCCCTCCCCGCCCCGGCCTCAGATCTTGCCGATTATCACTCTGTGGTCCGGAGAAGCGTTGGCAACGCCGCTGCCGAAGCTGCCAAGACACCCGCCCAGGGTGTTGGGAAGGAAGCTGGCAAGGAGGCCGGCAAGGAGGGTGGGAAGGGAAAGGAAGAGAAAAAGGAGAACGAGATCGAGATGAAGGGACAGTTCGGGGCCGCCCTCGCTCTGGGCGGCGGCAACATCAAGACCGACGTGGTGTTCCCTGCGGGGGTGAGTTTGCTCATCCAAACGGGAGATGGAAGTGCAAGTGTCAACCCACGAGAAACCCTGCTGACTGGTTCTCTTCGCCGCCTTGCAGAAAAACGGCGTCTTTGAGGTTGAGTTCAAAAACGCCCAGGGCCGCACGCTCACTGTGACCGAGAACAAGACGCCCGCGAAGGCCCCCTCCGGCTTTGTCGCCCTCGAGCCCGTGTCGTACAAGGTCCAGCTGGCCGAGGGCGCCAGCAACCTTACGCTGCAGCAGATTGACTACATCCGGAACGCGAATAGTTCGTACTCATCTCCCCCCTTAGCTGGCCGCGTTCCTAGAAGCTAACACCTTACCGCGAACCAGGCGCAGTGGACATCCGCACCGGAAAGATCGGCCGCCTATGCACCGAGGTGAACGCCTTCGTCATCGACGACACCGTTGGCGAGCTCGAGTTTGAAGAGGAAGAGAACGAGCTTAAGCTGGTGGTCAAGAACATGAATGCCGAATGGGGTATCTTTTTGCCCCAGGCTGCCGGTGCCGGGCCTGGTGCCGGAGCCGGAGCCGGAGCCGGAGCCGGAGCCGGAGCTGGAGCTGGAGCTGGGCAGGCCATGCTTGATCTCATCTTGAAGCTGCTCGATGGCCTGGTCAAGCCTAACTAAGCATTAGCTACGCGCACCAGCCGCGTCGATGCATCCGTTGACTATGTTCCGTTCCAGGTACCTAGCACGTAGTAGATAGCCGGTATGTACCATAAGTCTCGGGGATAGGTCCTTTCATCTGGACTCGCTCTTTTTGCAATGCAAATTGTGCTTGGCAACGCAAGTGGCCGAAACTGAAGGGAAAAACATAATTCGATAGTGGAAGGCATTGAGTTTGAGATTCCATCAACCCCTTGGTCGGTTTTAGTCGATGCCTAAAGAAAGTTGCGACCCACTCACCAACCGAAAGAAAAAATCCGAACCGCAAAATGCTTTTCCCCACCCAAACTCTATAGCAAAAAAGATCAAAACAAACTCAATCAATTTAATTGCAACATATCAAAGCACCATAATACGCCCAAAACAGCCTGGATTTTTTCGCCAATAATAAAAAGTGAAGGCAAAATGACTGCCCATTGATTTGCATATAAATTACAGTTATTGCTTTTTTTTGGTGGTGTTAATTGACTTTGAAATGGGAGCCCCTTTTTTGCGGTTCGGATTTTTCTTTTCAGTCGGTGCCGGGCTATGTCAGGCAAAGGAAACCCTTTTTCAGTGTTTCTGGGTGGGTGTTTTGTTTGTTGTTTCTCGTTTCCCTTCTGGCCCCGAATCAAAAAGGGCCCCCGCCGTACAGTAACGTTCTCTATTCTTGGCAGGGACACACATACCCGTGTTCCGCTGATCACCCCCACAACAAAAAAAAAAAAAGAAACACACGGACTGGCGAAACGAAACGGACGACGACTCGGAGAGGTCACGAGCACCAACACCATACACGCTCGCTCTCTC